TGAATTTTAGCGGAGAGTGAGGCCCAGGGTCTGTCCTATCGTTGTTACTTTTCGAAAAATTTTTACGACCCCCCTCCCCCAACGTGGATTTGATACGACCCCCTTTTCCCTACCTCCACCATCTCCATCTTCCATCAAAACCCCGCCCACTTTTTCCTCCAAAAATGCCGCGTATCGAGCGAGGAGGTATAAGCAAACCAGCCCTTTTGGCGTTTCGGCTGGGACCGTATGCTGAATGTTGGGGAGGGGATGGGGTCCCCAACGGTCGACGGTTTACTTCAACTCGGTTGGTACGATAGGAGAGTACTGACGCAAGTGGTGCAGCTGGTCCAGCAGCTCCGCCAGAAGGTGCATAGGTTTTTTGGCTTACCAGGACTAAGCCTTGGAGAGGAGGACGGACCCGTCCTCTCTTTAAGGCTTAGTTCTGAGGTAAGCACCAAATTGTGGCGGTTCTAAGGACCGAGTTGAAGTGGTCCGTCCACCGTCGGGGACTCCATCCCCTCCCCAACATTCAGCATACGGTCCCAGCCGAAGCGCCAAAAGGGCTGGTTTGCTTACGTCGTCGAGCAGGGCTGGACAGGTAATTAGTCACCTCTGAAACGGTAAATCCCGAAAGCCTCCTTCTATTGCCGCCATTTCAACCCATTTCTTACCTATACTCCCACTACTTAAACAAATAAATAAATAAATAAATAAATAAATAAATGCTTTCTTTCTAGGGGGAGTATATACGCCCGCTGAAACGGCAAATTTTTATCCTGCGCGCCCTCCACTCGCCCAGCCTACTACCCACGAAATCTTAGTTTCACCTCAATCCCACACGTGATTTCGAGCGACTAAAGTGGGTACGACCCCCCTCCTACAAACTCAACCAGGTACGACCCCCCCCCCGTTGGTACTTGTACCAACGTAGGGTTGACTCTGGTTCGTGAGCGGGCGAATTTCAAGCGGGAGTACGGAATAGGACCGACGTCAGTGCGAACGCAGCGAGTCGTAGCAGGTCCGCCGTGTTCGCTCGTGCCATCCGCGAATCGCTTGATTGGGTGGCTCCGCAACGGGCCGCGAACGTTAGCGAATCAGCGACATCGGCCTAAAACAGAAATGCAGCGATTATGGCAGCATTCGAGGTGGGCAATAGATATGTGATTTTCACCAGAAAACAATGAAATGCCGGTGAGAATATTTCTTGCCGTTAGAGGCACCTTTGTTCGACGGTCTGCTAAAGTGGCTGAATATGGTCATCACGTCTAGAATTTTTCTAAGAAATAAACATAGGTAAAGGAAAAAATGTATTGACATTGATCACTAAGATCTGCCACGATGATTACAACAAATGAGGATACACTACAAAATCATCGATCGAAAAAAGTGTTGCTATCGCACATGATACCGGCCGAGGTCTCTAAGGACTGAAGCCTGCAGGCAGAGTCAACCCTGCGTTGCGCAGTTCTCAACGGCCACGTTGCGCAGTTTCGCCCGATTAGACACGTTCTCTCGCGCGAACATTCACACTCGCATGCTCGAGCCGTCTGCGTCTCCGCCCATACAGCGTGCGTTGAGGATCTCTCAACGTGCCGTTGCGAACTGCGCAACGCAGGGTTGACTCTGGTAAGGTAGTTATCTCGGGGTGGGGTGGGTACTTAGGACAGAACGCGACTTTTTCGCTCTTCGCAACGCGACATCGCGCGGCAGGCTGGCGCACCCGTAGCGAAAACAACTACGGTATATAAGAACGCGCGATTGGAGCAGCTTTTTTGCATGCGTGAATTTGTAAGTTTCTGATTCCTTACTTGCCCGCGCTCACACCCATTGTATTGATAAATGCGGTGAATCACTAATTCTGTCTCATTATTGAAAACGTTTTGTGACTTACAAGATTCCGGGCGATACCACTAAAATGGTGTTTTACGAATTATCGGTGAACGAGGGTTTAATAGGGCCGCTTGTGCTTGCATTTTGTGGGTTCATATTGTTGTATAGACTTCTGCATAAGGGTATAACATCTTTTACGAAACGCTTCTGTCCTCATTACGGATATGATACTCATTTTGGACGCTGGCGCCATTTGGGGCCAGGTGGCGCCACAACTGTTTCCCACTAAATTCGTTTTAAACTTTTGTTTAAACTTTTGTATAGGGGTTATTCGGGGTCCTGATTTGTTCTTAGCGCTATTCGGCGCCTGCATCCTGCTCGTCTGCGCCCTCGCACTAATTAGATCGCAGTAGGACTAAGCCTTTGAGTAGTGTAGGGCTCCAAAGTGGGTAGGCCATTCCCCTGTGGTGTGACACACTCCAACTTTTGCCACACGGTGCGTGGGTTCGCCTGGGCGCCGGCCAGCGGGCGCGCCACACGGTGCGTGGTTTACCCACTCCGGAGTTTCACTCCCCTCCCCTATGCTTAGTCGTAGGCGCTGTAGGTGAGAAAGCTTAGTAAAGCAGAAAGTATGCGTTAAACAGCACGAATGGAAAAATTAGTGTCATATTCATGATCAGGGCCCCAAATAACCCCTATGCAGAAGTTTACAGTCGTCTCATCAAACGTCCATCAACCATTCCTCTTCCAGGTTCTCCAGAAGCTCTACCATCCATCTCTGCAAAAATAACCTACCTCCCTCTTCACTGCTAGTTAGCGGTCCACTTCTGGTTACCATTTCCTCGTTCATTATCAAATCCATGGCTATTAAGCTTCAAACTCCTTGTCGCAATCAAAGCCGACACAAATATCGCGCTCCAATCGCGCGTTCTTATATACCGTAGTTGTTTTCGCTACGGGTGCGCCAGCCTGCCGCGCGATGTCGCGTGCCAGAGACTCGGGCGGGAAAAGTCGCCGTTGTGTGCCTGAAGTACCCGACACCCGATCCTCGGTCGGGCAGATAAAAACACGGCAGTACAAATGGAGTCTCCCGCTACCCTGCTCAAAAGAGTAGCTCAGAGGGTTGTTCGGAATTACAGGTGGGTTAGAGGGCGTAAACAAATTGCAGGTTGTCTTTAACGAATTTCCTTTTTTTATTTGATTTTTAGCCATTTTTAACAAAAATGAGATTGTCGATACCGCGGGGTTTCGCGAATCAATGCCACCATAGTTGCCGCGCATATTGCAGTAGCGAGGGAGGTATGGTTATACCTTGCAAATGTTGACGGCCGTCTTTTCTGTAAGATAGACAATGAGAGGAAGGTGACGGTAAAAGAATAGGACGACACCAGAAGCGGGGAAGGGCATGGAGTGTAGTTTTTGTACGTTTGAAACCGAATCTTCATGCGTGAAACTTTGTGTGCTGTTTCCAGTGATCACAGTGACACATTCATGTCAAGAAAGAATGCAAGAATTTCCGCGAAGGATTCCTTTAAGGCCTGCAACTACTATATTTTGGGGTTAATCTGAAGATGCAATAGTAGTCTCGATTCACCGTATGTGCATTTTATTTTCAGAAGTGCATAGTAAGAGGTAGAGGACAGGGTCAACCCTACGTTGTTACGAGTAACAACGGGGGGGTCGTACCTGGTTGAGTTTGTAGGAGGGGGGGTCGTACCCACTTTAGTCGCTCGAAATCACGTGTGGGATTGAGGTGAAACTAAGATTTCGTGGGTAGTAGGCTGGGCGAGTGGAGGGCGCGCAGGATAAAAAGGTAAAAAATGGGTTGAAATGGTGGAAATAGAAGGAAATTTTCGGAGATATTTACCGTTTCAGAGTGACTATATACCCCCCCCGCTCGACGGCATTTTTGGAGGAAAAAGTGGGCGGGGTTTTGATGGAAGATGGAGATGGTGGAGGTAGGGAAAAGGGGGTCGTATCAAATCCACCTTGGGGGAGGGGGGTCGTAAAAATTTTTCGAAAAGTAACAACGATAGGACCGACCCTGCTCACACTCGGCGAACTCCACCGAAATCGGCGGGCAATTTTATCGCACTCCCTACGATTAAGTTCTTTGGTTTGTCAATGAGGACAATTTTCATAGATTCCGCAGGAGTTTCAAAAAGCATGCACTTCATCTTGATGGGACATCAAAGGCACAAAGCACTTTGGAGATTGCAGTGTCCTGGAAAAAAATTCGTGTCAATGCATTTTTCGTGCATTTCACACTAGGAATGAGCAGCTCATATTGCATGCATCTTGCCAGGGCACGGTCCAATGCTTTCAAAAACTTGAATTTTTCATGGCAGACGGGACGACAAGTGGGCAGAAAAATTTGGAAAATCCTTCTTGCACCTCATGTTTAACTTTTGAGCGGACTGAGACATACGATTCGACCCCAACACCTTCAAATCAGGGAATTTGCACCACTGCAAAAATATGGTCGATGAAGTTTAGCACACGAAGGCTTCGGAATAAATATTTTAAGATCTGGTATAAAAAAATACA